TGGACTGAATGTTCTTTTCTATCGATAAAAAAGCACTTTCATTAATGATATTCCAGAATATTTAATGAACAAGTGAATTTATTTTATTGGCAGCAAAGACAATTACTCTATTTTAATAATTTTCTGCTTGTTCTGATTCCTTCTTCTTGAACAACGAATTGCTTGATATCTTTTTCATGTTATCATAAAACAATGATTTCGAATAAAATAAATAAACGCGATTGCAGTTTTATTCGTTTGATATTTAGTTTTTGAATCAAGATAGAACCAATTGATGATCTTATCTAGTTGCAAAGATGCCCATGAGGGAACACTATAAGAAGGATGTAGGTTAAGAGGCATCAATACTCATCCGTCTTGACCCACGCCAGATCGATAAATCTTATAAATATACTCAGCTCGTACCAGTCAGTATTGTATTGATTTGGGGTGTGGGTGTTGGTGTGTGGTGGGTGTGGGTGCGGGTGTGGATGTAGGTGCTGTTTACTTACACTGCAACCACGCCCGCATTCACACCCACATTCACACATCCACCCACCCTTGTACCGAAAGGAAGAATAGAACCTCGTACGCTCCGATTCCGAATCGGAGACGTACCTATTCGACCAGAGCTCCCCGATTTGTGTATTGATTTTTTCGAAATGTAATCAAATGAATGTTCAATAAAAAGTCAATGAAAAAACTAAATTCCTTATAGAGACTATCTATTATTTATTGAATAATTACAATAAAATAAGAAATGAACTTATTGTGAATTCTAGTTTCTTATACATATTTAATATTGTAATGAAAGATAAAGTCAAAACCACAGACGAAGTCTTGATATATCGATGCAGTACCAGCTATTAGGAAAACGTCTTTCAATCATAGAATGATAAGATTCGACTTTTTAATGCTTGATTTGTCCATAAATATCGAGATAAGCCAATTGTTTCAATTTTTCAACTAATTCACAAAGATTTTGCTCAAAAACAGCAACATGTTTAACTAAAAAAAAAATAATTTTCAAAAAAATTTATATTTCAATCTATTTCAAATACGTACCGATTGATTTAGATGTTTGTAAAGATTTTATCCATTGTCTAGTCAAAACTTGATATAAGTCTCCTGCTGGATATTCTGGTGGAATTTAAACAAAGAAAAAAAAAACTTCAATACTAAGTTTTACCATGAAGAAGTTTCCCAATTCGATTATTCTTTTATCAAAAGACATTATAACGACTCTCCAGAGAACCTTTTCAATTGTGAAATCGCGTTTGAATTCGGACTCTATGCATAGGATAGATTCCTAGGATGTATGAGAAACTTCAAAATGAAAAATCTGCTTCAGATCGTATGTCCATAATTACAGACATTTTACTAGAAATTTAGTTCATAGTATTGTAAATATCAACAAATCGAGTGATGTTATTTTGACGTGAGATTTTACTTATAGGAAGATACTCTGAATGTTAAAATCAACAAAAGAGAATAGTGTAGGATCATTTTGAATTAATAAATTTGATAATCTGCATGCACAGCTCATATCATAAAATCTACCAAAGGAATATTTTACCCTTGATTTTCCATATATACAAAGATTTTGTTTCAGTGAATGATTCTCTGAAAATTTCTTGTTACGCGAAAAGTTTCTCCCGACATGCGTTGGCATACATGGATTAGATTTCAATAGTCTAATTTTTTGCATATCGTTTCAATTTCAAAACAATCGGACAGTTGAAAACTTTTCTTCCTGGAAGATAATTTTGTATAAATACTTTTTTTATTATATAATACAATTAAAATTAAAATTAAAAGATTAAACCCAGTCAAATGAAACATAAGAACAATCATCCTTACCACGAGTCTGACTGTCAATATCTTATCGAGGTTTCCTTTTTCGAACGGATGGTTGAGATTTTTGAAGGAGCTGCTGGCTAATACATCTTTTGCCGTATAATAAAGACCTTTATTTACAATATTATTTGAATTATCATTTATTTTACCTTTCTGTTATTAAATTATAGTGCAGAGTTCTCTAGATTTTCTTCACTTTTAAAATATGAAATAAGAGACTTCTGTCTTGATGATAGTTATTTACAGATGGGTCGTAACGAAATTAAATAGAATGAATATGTTTAATGTGAAGTATGCGAATCAACAAAAAAATTAGTCTAACACAAAAATAATTTTTGTCATTTTGGTTCTTTTCAATCTATTATTATGCCTCATTAGGAAGAATCGATTATCTGACGAACAGTCGAACTGAACTGTTTATTCCAATTTGGGAAAGACAAGCTATTTTATCATTGATTTATGAGTGAATATAGACGAAAGTATCGTGTATAAGACAATGATCAATATAACTGCTTTCAATTAAAAGTAATAAAAAGGCTTCTTACGTAAGAACCCTAATAATGTCAATTTAAGACAAGGATGAATAAGGAAATATAGTAGAATTAATTAAGCTATGTAGAGAATAGATTATTTTAAATTTATCACGATCGACAGTCACAGGAGTAACAAAGGAAGGATGCCTTTCTATGCAGTGTGAAAAACCGACAAATGTCCGTCGAGAAGAATGTTGCAAAGACCATCAGGAAAAATTCATATGGCTGATACGCAGAGAATTCAAATATTCAATTGCACAACCCTTTACTACTACTACGTCAAACACACAAAATGAATACTCTTGATAATGAGAGTGAAAGTGAGAGAGAGAAAATATCCACTTTTTTATGAAATCAACTGTAGATTTATGGACGGACGCCGTCCAGCCAGATCACTCAATAGATAAATCACTGATCAATGTAAACGAAAACAAACAATAGTTGTGCTCCAACTATAGTTATATTCACATATTTCATATTTTACAGTGATGTAATCAGATGTATTACCATTGAATAATTGTCTAAGCTACAAAAATTCTTGTTCAAACTTTTCTTGAGATGGTGATAATTACCCATGAATATCCATTTCCCAGAACAGTTTGGTTAGGCGATTGGTCATTACTGAAAAAAACGTAATTACGTTACTAATGTTCTCAATGAAACAGAATTGAACGCTCATTAACAAGATAAAAATTTTAAATCTTTAATCAAAGTTTTCGTTCAATTCAAATTAAAATAACATCCTTTCAAAAACAAAAGTCAACTGAAACTTGTTGAAATATGCCCATTTTCTTATTCAAAGTAAATATTCATATCGCTAAACTTAAGTCAATCAAAGATAAGATTGATCTTAGAATTGTCAAATGAAAACACAAGTTTTAATCAGAATCGAAAATTTTCTTTGGATTTTAATGAGTACAACAATATATAATGATTTCAGAATTAGTTGAAGAGAAAAGATATTGTTTAAGGAAGTTTTCTTTAGTTATGAGTCTCTACTTACTTGATGTCCAAGGAAAATCATCATGTCACCAAAGGCGTAATGTTTGCAAATTTGGCATATAACTACTGAGAGTGGATATCAGACTTTTTTCTGTATAAATTGATTCATTTGAACTAGCATAACAGCTCATAAGACAAAATTCGGCATGTTGAACAGTAGTCAATGCATTTTTTTTCAGTTTATCGAATGACTATAAATAAAAATCATGTTAAATTATAAGATTTTATTCGACAAAAAATAATGCTTAGAATAAGAGAAACAAAAAAAAATCCGTAATCAGGATTCAAATGCAAAACTAGAATAACATCGCTTTTTCTCTATGTAAATAATTAACAAAAAGAAGATAGATCAGGATAAATTCTAATATCACCATTTTATCTTTCTTTATGGAATTGAGAACAAGGCAGAAACAGCTTATTCTGATTGACTAGAATCAATTCAAGTCAATGAAATCACTTGGTGTCAAGGAGGCATAGTATGAGCTCTTTCCCCTTTGGTTGAGATGTCTTTTTCATTTATCGAAAGATTTAGATTCAGGGTGGGTGTGGATGTGGGTGGGTGTGGGTGTGAGTGTGGGTAGGTGTGTGGGTATGGGTGTGGGGTCTCTCTTCACCCACACCCCACACCTACACCCCACACCCACACCCATCCACACCCACACCCACCCACACCCACACTCCATCCACACCCTCTATCTTAGGCTGTGGTGAATTGAGAGTGCAGGGTTGAATGACACAAACGGGTGTGGGTGTCTGAGTGTGGGGTGGGTATGGGTGTGGGTGCTGGTATTTATCTTCCGTTAAATCATGCCCACAGCCACAGCCACACCCCACAATCCCCATCCACACTCACACCCAAACTGGTGATGATAGGCACTGCATGATGCTATCAGATGCAAAAATCTGCTGTGATGAGGCTGATTGGCTATGTCAAGGAAAAGACTATGAAGTGTTCAGGAAAATCGTTCATGTGTATCGAGAGTGGTGTAGTGTTGAAGGGGAAATATTTTTTTCAGGTCTAACCGGGGTGGAGTGTGGGTGTAAGTGTGAGAGAAGAGAAGGTCACACCCACCCCCACCCCACACTTAGGCATGCACCCAAACCGTTTGGGTCGCTTCTGCCAAAATAACGAAAAATGGTCTTATTTACTGAACCATGCGACACAACACTTTTTCTTCAGCGAAAAACTGAAGTAGGAGAATGGTACTACAAAATATCAAAAGAGGGATTTCGGCAACCTTCTTAGACTAAATACTAGAGTTAATCAAAAAACCCAAACTCAATGAGTTTGGATTTGGGTTTGGGTTTGACGGGTTGTTCAGTCCTCTTTGAATATCTTATTTAATGGAGCAACTCATTTGATCATTTTCCATTTAGTTGTCAAAGGCAGACTTCCTTCGATATTAGTGGCGCTACAGTTTATTAATACAGTTCCTAGTCAATGAGATAAGTTTGAAATATCCAAATTCTTCTATTGAGTTTGGGTGCATGCCTACCCACACCCCACACCCACACCCACACCAACACCCATAACATATAATAAACTCTTATATCTAGAAAAAGTAGACGATGAACTTCTTTGACTATTTATTACGGATTAAAGAATTTAGGTATGAATAATAACACGCTTTATTTATTATTGTCTTTCGATATGTCAGTTTGTTTAGTTATGTCAGCACTTAAGAGATGTGCGAGCGCTCTATCAAATCGTCCATTAAACGAAGCATACGCTCTTTTCAATGTCATACGTCTTATATCTTGCTCGATCTGCAAACGTCTTGGATGATCGGATTCCATTATTTGTCGGATAATAACAGCTGCTTTATGATAGAACTGTAATGCTTGCTGATAATCACCTAAGTTAGCATGTGCTACTCCGACATTTCGGTATGCATCAGCCATCTTGGCACTCATAGACGGAAGTGTATTAGCGAGCATGGTTAAAGTTTGTTCGGCATACGTTAACGCTTGCTCATAATTTCCCAATATGCCATGGATACCGCCAATATTGCCGAGGTTTTCTGCTATATCGACATCATTTGCTGGTAAAAATTGACGACGAATAGCCAATGCCTGTTCGAAATAGTCGAGGGCCCTGCGTGGTTGTTCACGCCCAAACAAACTACCTAAATTATTTAGACATCTGGCAATGTTTTCTCGATGTTCGTCGTCTGCATTTTTCCAAATAGCCAGAGCTTTTTCAAAATAAGTTGAGGCTTTATTGTGTTCACCTATGGCTTTGTAAACTAACGCTAGGTTATTGAATGTTTTTGCTCGTTCTGGATCCTCAGAAGATAATAGTTCATCTTCCAAACCCATTGTTTGATTATATAAATCAATAGCCTGATCGTAATGACCTTGTTCATCAGCAATTTGTCCAAGAAATCGATAGATACGTATCATATCTGGATGATTACTTGGACATTTTGTTAACATTTGTTCAAAAGTCTCTTTAGCTTTATCTAGCAGGCCCATTTCATATAAAACAATGGCAAAATCCTCAACAGATGTTTTTTCTGAAATGCGACTTCTCAAACGATCGAGTACAGATTTAAGTTCAGTCTCATTGTCACTACATAATTGCAATTTCACCCAATACATATCTGGATAATCTTCGATCGAAACGATGCGAAAGATGGCACCTAAAACGAACAGAATCTCCTTCTCACCTGGCATATAGCTTAATTCCGAAATATCAGCAAATGGTTTGACATCTATAAGACTTGTACTCATTTCAATTTCAAACAAGACCGATACAAGTCCTTCACGTGCATGAGTAAATCCATAAGACATCAAATAATCAGGAGTCGTTGAAAAGAAACTATGTACAGACATAAGTTCGCCTACCGATGCTCGAAATCGATCGAGTTCGGTTTTAGCTATCATTTGACCTCGCCATGTTGTGATCGTTTCCGTTGACAATAATTGTACTTGCTCATCATGTTTTATTCTCAATTGTTGATATAAATCATCAATATAAAAGCCAAAAATGAATAGTTTACAGACATCTTGCTGTCGAAGAGCTTCATTTATTTGTTTGTAAAGAAAACAGTCACCTGAATAGTTAAGAAGGAAGAAATGATTAATCGAAACAGTATGCTACGTACGTGTATACCATTTGATGGCGTCAGTTGGGCAATACTCGCTTTGGAATTGACGAATTTTGTATTGTTCGACATCATTTCCTTCGTAGATGCGTATACACTCAGTGATTAGATCATGCATAGCATTAGATCTTCGTCGCCGCATTCGTAGTATGACTTCAATAAAGAACTGAAACCAGAGAAAATCTCCATTCAAACGTGATGAAGTTGATTCGGTGCGGAAGAAAAAACTAATTGGCAGTGTTTCTTCATCACGCTGATAACGTGCTATTTCTTCCTGAGTTTCATTATAAAATGTTTGTATCAATGAAGTCTCTGAGTCATTCAGTATACGGTTATCAATTGACGTCTAAATTAAATAAAATATTGTTTGATGAACCCAAAAGCTTATAAAAATATCTGAACCTCTGTTGAATTATCAGAAATAGTTGTATGGTGAAGATGATGATCACTCATGATTAATGTAGGTGAGACGGTAGCAAATGGTGTGAAGTTTATTGAGACAAAAATGAGACCTAAGTTAAAACTTTTTATGCATAAAAATGTCGCATTCATAGATAAGTTGTATTTTTTTTTCTCACGATTTATTTCGTTCTTTCAACAATACCTACACTTACGCGGTCATGTGAAGTAATAAAGAAAAAAAATGCATACCTGTCTTGTTGTTGTTAACCGATAAGCTCAAACGTAGTCAACAAATATTTTGTAACAGAGAAACAAAAAAACTACAATATTACAAAACATCAAATGTGTAAATATGGAAGATAGATGGCGAAAACTATAAATATCAAAAAGAAAATTAAATCCAAGGTATTAGATGTCAACTATCACTTTTTGCATGATTCAATCTAGCTGAAAAGCTAGAAACAATACCA